TCTCAGTAATGTGAGCTGCTTGTGTGCATTGTGCTTTCCCAAACCTTCACCTGGCTTGTATTACTGTCCCTGTAAAGCCAACCAGCTGCCCAAGCCCACTGCTCCTATTCAATAAAGAACATTTATTTCTCGAATCCATTTACTTTATTTAACAAACATGAGTGAAGAGGGAGAACAGAAAAAAAGCTAACCTTGGGGGAAAAGGGGCTGTACATTTGGAACAGGAGAAATATTTTCCGCTGTGTAACATAACACTGCATTCCAGACCATCAAATATCTGTGACCAGGCACCTTCAGTTCCTTGTACCTTCCCATCCCTGAGTTAAGTGAAAGGGATAATAGACTTTTTGCCCACGTCTCATGGAACACTTGGGAGAGGGTGATTTCTGCACTAGGCACTGCTGTCTGCCTGTCCACCAGGGTCTGCAGAGGGACTCTACCCTCCTGCTTCTGTTCCTGCAGATGCCTTAACATGTCTGCTTGGTCCTACATAATCCGAAGCATCTCATCTTGCGCCGCATGCTCTCGCTCACTGGAAGCTTTCCTACTCTCCATGTCTAAATTTTCGGACAGTGAAGTCTTCCACCCTCTTAATTCTGTCAGCTGTCCTGGAAGCATTCACTATCTCGGTGAACGTGTCATCCTGTGTTTTTTCTCCTCCTTCTAATCACTGAACATCTGGTGCTGACATGCTGAAGGACACATTTCCAGCTGTCAGTCGGGGAAAAAATAAAGGAGCCATTGCACATGAATAAAATGTTTCCCTAGCAAGGCCGTTTTTAAAAAAACAAAAGAAAAAAACCCCCACCCATATTATACTAGGTGCAAGTCATAACATAATCAGAATCTGTAACCGTTCACTGTGTGCCACCCCTGGGTCATGGGTGACTGCACTATCAATGAAGTTTATCAATCATGTTGGGAGTACAGGTAGCTAGTTGAACAATAGTCCTTCCCCATAGCACCACAGATTGGGTGGAGGGGAACAATTTCACTCCTAAATTGCAGAATCTCTCATGGGGCTTCAGTCCTCTTATCAGCCACTTTAAACTACTTGTCGACCCATGCCGAGCACAGTAAAGGCACATTAGTGGCCGCGTGATTTGGTGATCTGGAAGGGGGGGGGTTCTACATGCCCTTTTTTCCCCATGTAAAAGCACTTTTAATGAGAACTTGCCCTCAGGAGACTGATATCATATAGGGTTGCCTAGGGGAAACAGGGAAACAGAGGTGGAAAGGAAGGAGATGTGGCAAGTGTCTGGGTATAGACCTGGTCCTTATGCTGTATACCGCAATGATGCCAGCAGAATTAATTCAGGAGTTGCATGGGAAAGTGGCCTACCGTGGTGAAAGAAATAAGACGCCCTGTCAAGAAACCTTCTGCAAAGGATTGCAGAGTACCTCCATGAAAGTTTCCTAGAGATATCCACATAGGATTCCTGGGCTATCCCAGTCCACATAAATAGTCTTTTCTGGGGGCTACCCTTGACTTAATTGGAGCGGCCTCTTATAAGCAGAGAATCTCAACATCTTGCTTGTTTTTCAGTGGTATTGCATGTTTACTGTGAATGTGTGTGCCCACTAAAGTTTAACTGGACTTTCATTGTAATTGTATATTCACCAGAGGTGCCTTCCCGGGCATCCTGGTTGGCCTGTGACCCACAGGGCTCCAGGGGAAAAATATTTCCTGGCTCTCAGGGAAAATGGATCCACTGCTCACCTGTCTCCCATTCTTCTCCTCCTCCTCCTCTTTCTCATCCACCATATCCTCCTCCTTGTTATCCCTAGACTCTTACACCTGTGATGTGTCCACGTTGCTTGTGGGGGTGCTGGTTGGGTCACCCTCAAGATTTGCATGCAGCTTGTTGTAGAACCAGCGTGTTTGTGGGGTTCAGCACCAGACCGACTGTTCACCTCCCTTGCCTTCTGATGTGTTTGAAGTTTTTTATTTTCACACAGCACTGCTGTGTCCCCCTCGTGTAGCCCTTCTCCCCCATTCCATGAGTGATCTTTGCATAGATGTCAGTGTTTCTTCTGCTGGATCAGAGCTCTGGCTGCACAGACTCTTCTCCCCACACAGCGATGAGATCCAGCACCTCCTATGCAGACCAAGCTGAAGCGCGTTTGGGGTGTGTAGTCTCCATGATCAGTTGTGCTCAAGCTGGCATGCTCCCAATGCTGATCAAACAGGAAATGGGAAATCAAAAGTTCCCAGGGCTTTATCCGGGGAGGGGCTGTTTCCTGTGTTCCTGGTTGCAGTGCGGCAGAGTTGAGGATGATCTCCAGAGCGGTCACAGATGAGCATTGTGGGACATAACCTGGAGGCCAATTAGGTTGAATTACACAACACTGCATCTGCACTACCTCGCAGTCGGCCCATGAAAATTGAACTAAGCGCTATGCCTCTCACAGAGGTGAGTTAGAGAAGTTGACATCAGAGGGGACTTAGGTCGACCTAAAGGACCCAGTAGTGTAGATACATGCATTAACAGGTCAACTTAAGGCAGCTTCCTTCAACCTAACTCTAGTATAGACCAGGCTGGAATCTACTAATAGGAACAAACAACTGAGAACAAAGAAACTTGCTGCTGGTGACCATAATTTACTCCCAGAATTTACTGATAGAGCATTCTCCTTGAGTACTCTCTGCATTGGAACTTACTCCCCCAGTACTTTGGCCTGAAAGAGATTGAACCTTCTGTAGGAAATTGCAATTCGTTCTTCCACCCAGCATAACTTCCTCATCATTGGCTAAGTAAAGCAAGGCTGTACACTGTTTCTCTATATGTGACATGATAGCTTTGGCATCATGTTTGGTTCTAGGCATCAGACCCCTATTGATTTTGGGTGAAAATCAGAAATGCCTGATTTAGAGCAAAGTCAAGCCCACAGGCTGCCAGGTGCTGGGGCCCTGGGCAGAGTGGAGCAAGCCCCCACCCCTGACAGGAGTGCCACGTGGGTGGAGTGGGGCAAGCCCCCATGCCCTGGCAGGAGCACTGGGAGGGCGGAGTGGGGGCACACATTTTTACAGGACCCCTGTTTTTCCGGGAGCCCCGGCCAGAGCATCTATCACCCCCTCCATCCCCCTCCCCCCCCGAAGCATTCCCTTGTGCTTACCCCACTGCTGTACCAGCGGTTCCCCGATATATGTCCTTTCGGTATCTGTTGCCCTTTTCAAGAACACAACCCCACAACACTTATACTGGGGACCCGCTATATCTAACCTGAATCTCCCTTAGGACAAGAAGTAATCCTCTTAATCTGTCACATCTTCAGTGGACATAGAGCACAATTGATCACCATCATTATTACAGCCCTTAACGTATTTGAAGACTTATCAGGCCCCTCAGTCATCTTTTCTCAAGACTAAAACATCCCTATTTTTTTAAACTTTTTTCCTCTCTTGGGCAGTAACTGCCTCTTCCTGCAGTGTGGCCCACTCTCCTGGGCCAGATTAGTCCTCAGGGCTTTCTCCTCCTGGGGTAATCCAAAAGTAAAGGGGAATTAACAAAATTTGGAGCCCATATGAGAAGGAGTGGGGAATGCTTCCCTCTTGGATTGTAGCAAGTCCTCCCTTCCTTCATGGAGAGACCTTATGGGCAGTTCTCATGGGGAGAGATTCTGCCTTTCCCTTAGCTCACTGCTGGAGTTGCGGGGCTGCTCTCCTCCCTGGTCTGCCATCAAATGAGCTGCTCCCCTGCCTTTTAACTCCTTCAGTTGAAGCATTTCCTACAGGTTTGGTGGGGTGTGGCTAGCTGAGCCCAGAGCACTCTCCTAACCACTGGTTGCCCGTTTACGGTTTGTATACCCTGTCACAGGTGGTTTTAACTTTTCATTTTATTGCTTTTGTTGGTTGTTTGGGTATGTGGGTATAGTAGCCCTAGCAGCTTCACAATGAAGACTTGGAGTATTAACTACATTACAAACTATTTTTATTTTTCTGTCTTTTTGGACATCCATGCTCCTTCTCACACATGGTACTTTGTTTCAAGTATTCTGTTAATGCATATTTTAAAGGTAGGAGTTTCCTCCAAAAATTGTCAGTGAAGATTCCTACTTCTGTGATGCATATGGCCTCCTAGCTTCAAACTTATACTACAAGCACTTAAGCACATGCAGAAAGTTCTGCATGTGAATACTCTCGTTTGAAGTCAATGAGACTACTCTCATAAACAGGGGTGGATTATCCAGTGGGCCAATGGGGCCCATGCCTGGGGGGCCCTGGAAAAATTGGTACCCCACCCCCAACAGGAACCTGCCGTGGGGCAGCGGAAGCCCCACTCCCTAGCAGGAGCCCGTGGCGGGGCGGGAGAAGCCCCAGAGCTGGGACTTCTGCTGTGGCCCCGGGACTGAAGAAGTTCTCGCTCCCTGCTGCGGCCTCAGGACTGGGAGAGTTCTCACTCTCCACTGTGGCCCTAGGGCCATGGCAGGGGAGCAGAGCTTCTTTAGTTTTGGGGCTGCAGTGGGGGTGGGCAGAAAGAAGCAAACAGATTGTGGGGGCTGGAGTGGGTGGTCGGGAATGTGGGTGGGAAGGGGTAGAATGGGGTGGGGCCACAGGCAGAATGGGGTGGGACCGCAGGCATAAAGGGGTGTGGAGGGGGCCCCCCACTTGCTCTGGTCCATGGCCCCAGGAAACCTTAATCCACCTCTGCTCATAAATACAGTTTTGCATGTGCATAGGTCTTTAAAGATCGATTGATTTTATTTATTTATTTTATTTATTTTTTAAACCCAGAAGGCACCATTGTGATCATCTTAAGAATTAGAGACCAATAGGTTGCATATTCTAAGACTGTTGAACTGCATGGTCAATACACTTCGAGAACTCTAGTTACAAGTAACATATTTTCTTTAGGTTTAATATAAATGAACCAGCATTAAAATACTTCAGTGTACAGAGTGTATTAAAAGATATATTAATGTTGTTTTATAAAGTTTTCAATATCTACACTACCAGCAAAGCATAATGCTTTTCTTTTACTTTTCCCTTTTTATATTAGCTTCATGGAGATTTCACAGTATCTCTTAGTGATGTGGTGGAAACCTGGAAATACTTTCTACATGATAAACTGGGATTGACATATGAGAATATGGAAGCACCTGAAAACTATGATGATATCAAAAAAGCTTATGATACCTTCTTAAAGAGGAGTAATATGTTAGATCTAATTGATATTTGCCAGAAGTGTCATACATTAACATCTGAATCTGAAATTGAAGAGATGTCCCCTGTAAGTATGTCTTTGTATGTCTGAAATTGTGTACCAATATGGTTAACTCAAGTTCAGAAATGCAATAATATTAAGATCTGTTCAGAAGCCATTAATTGTTCATATCTGTTGCTTAGTTTTTCTGTGGGGAAGAAAGTTTAATTTTATAATTGCTCAGTTGTTTTTAAAGAGTAAACTTTTGTGATTTAAACATTTCTCCGTATTCTCCTGTCTCGTGGAAACAGTCCTTCTAAGAGTCAAGTAGTCTTTTGGGGGCAGAAAACTCACCTGACTGAAATGTAATAGGTGAGTGGCGACACCACCAATTTGGTTGACTTAATGAACCCCTCTCTACAAACATGCACATCATATACCATTTGAAAGCTTATTATGTCTACTTTTAGATGAGATATGATGTGGAGTTGTTAAGTGGTGCTGTTTTCATAGAAACAGGATAAACAATGACACCATAAACACATTAAAAAGACCACTTTTAAATATTTGCATTTGTTCCAGTTAATTTAATGACTCTAAATATTTCAAGACATAAAATTGGATTTCTTTGTGACCTCAAAGCATCACAACAACAATCTAAAGGGTATTACAAAATCTAGTAATTGATACAGATATCATTTAAATGTAATAGCAGTGGTGACTTTTCTAGACAACATTATTATCATCTTGTTCACCATTATCTCTCTTGAGTGTGTGGGTGTGACCCTAAGAGCTCCTCAATGCCCATTGCCAAAGGGTTCAATGTCACATAATAGCTACTCCTGTCAAGCCTGACAAACTCAATACACTGAACACATTTTTGTCATGATATTTATCTATAAAGAATGTTGTGTAAGATATCAAGTGAAAGCTGGTGACATATTAGTCATTAATATCGTTATGAAGTGTATGTATTAATACAGTATAAGGAACTATAGACACTTTTACTGTTATGCTTTAGAGTCTGCAACCAAACAAAGGGAGAAACGGGTTTTCTCCCATAAAAGAGGGAGGATAGTTATCTTCCTATTGCCAATGAAAATTGAGCATGGTGATGCAAGAGACAATAGGCAGTTCATGTGCGTCTACGATACACGGGAGGAACAAATTAACATGAGGATGTGAAATCAGTATAGGAAGACACTGGCATCTGAACTCCAGGAGTTCATCCTGACTGGTGACGCAGACAATAAACTTTGAGGATATGAAGAGAAGCAAAAAGACATTTTGGTTATCCATCACTCAGGGAACAGAGAGGTCAATGCTCTTTGTATTCATGAACAGTGGCTCCCCAGTCATGTGGGTTGCGTGATGCTAAGAAGTGGCTGTAGATGAGAAAACTGCATTAGACAAGTATTGTAGCTTGTTGAGTTTTGTCCATGAGAAAGCGTGATTATACTTTTTTATTTGTAACCATATTCTGTTTCTATGATCTCTGATTCGTATCCCCTACTCTGTTCTTTATTAATAAACTTATTTTTGTTTTATTATAAATTCATCTTAGTGCTGTTGTATTAAAGTGAGGTGTTCATTTGCAGCTGAAACAACAGGCTGATGTGTATTCTGTTTCTTTGTAGACAGTGGATTTGTGACTGTACAGTAACAGGGCTGGATACTACAGAGGAACGCTCTTTTAGAGGGTTCAGGAACTGCAAGGCAGTGTTCAGGAAGTGTTACCTGCAAGGCAAATAAGGGCTGACAAGAGTCCTAAGGAGTTTGGCTGGTAACAGACTGGGGTGACAGGGAGTTGTCACACAGTTTAGTACCAACAAATTCCTTTTATGCTGTGGCAGAGGAGTAACAGGGTGACTTGCAGTTGTGGGCACACCAAGAAAGCCTCTCAGTGGGTTACTACAGTCTTCGCTGCCTTGGCATGTACACTTCTATGCAGGGAATATTGTTCTGCCTACAGACGCAGTTGATCGTGCAACAACCCCTACTGGTAGAGACACAATAAGGTCTTGAAGACTCTCTGATGCCTTTGCACTCTTGAAGAATACAGAAAGTTGTTCATTCTCCACATTTTCCTAAAAATGTTGCAGTGGTGATGCAATATTTGGTTTACCTGTGTGCTAAGACATCCAAATCTTTGTTTGCCAAGATGCTCTTTTGACATGCTCTTCAAAACTGTCCTCACATGATGAGTTTGGCCTGTGGTTTGTCCTTTTTGATGGCTAGATTGAGGCATAAGTAAATCAGGTGTCTGGGGGGTGGGGTGTCTCTTTTTTTTATTATTTATTTATCCCTCCCCCCCAGGGTCTGGTTATACAGCCCTGCTAGCAACTTCTTGCTGCAGAAGTTGTGCTGTGTCTATCACTCTCTTCTAATTTGGCAAGATCTCTGAAGCAGTAAGCTCTTTGTTTTGACAACATTAAACACAGATTTCCCCCCCCCCGCCCATACCAAATAGGGATGACAGAGTCACACCCTTTTAATGTGTGTACAGCAGGAAGTATGTTGCAGAAGTCAGGAGTGAGTGCATTACAGATTGCACATGCAGGTATGAAGTTACTCCTATCAGTTGTGCTGGTAATGATGCCTGTTTCAATCAACATTTTTATCTGTCTATGTGTTACATTTTTGGAAGGTAATGAACAGCAAGGACTATAACATCTGTACCAGGTGACCTAATTCTATGGTTCCTTTTGGCATTAGAGACCCAGATATAGCACATAGTATGCAGAAGCATTTTTGCATCTGCTTCCTCTTGAGTACTGTGTGAGTCTTGAGCTTCTTCAGCACATCTACCGTTGATGGACTTTGTTACTTCACCATTGGAGAAGCCTGCAGTAAGATGGAGTGTTTGTTGGGTATGCTCCTACACTTTCAGGTGCATTTTGAGCCATGCATTCACAGAGGAATTTTGAGTGACTGCTTGTTGGATGCCACATTTAGAATTTTTTTTCTATGGAGGCACAGGGCATCCACCAATCACCTGGTATTTCTTGCCATTCTACCTTAGATGCCATCCAGCACTATCTTTCTGCAGTTTTCAAGGAATTATTGTTGTCACATCTGTCAAGGACTTGCTTTCTGAATTAGATTTGTTAAATCTTTTTAGGACCTGCCTCAAGTGTTCAGCAGCCAGTTCACAGTATGTGGACACAAATTCCAAAGACATTGTTTGTATTACAGCCATGGCATCTCTGATGTACACTGTGGTTTTTGTTGCATGCTCTTAGCTCATGGATTCTTTCAGCTTGAGCTTCCAGCTTGATGCACTAACTTAGCTTTTTGTTCTTCTCATTATTCCATCACATGAAAGAGGAACATAGTCACAGAATAGAACCTGTGCCTAAGAACAAATGCCATTGAAACATCATTTCTGCATCCTTACTAAGGACAGGGCTCTGTGGAAAACAATGTATGGACTTATAGCTGCTGTGATTGTTCCTCCCTTGCCAGACTTAAACTTGGTCTTAGAGGCCACGTCAGCAAATGTTGTTGATGCCCGATTTCTTAACTTGACAGAAGAAGCTATGTGTTCCATCAGAATTGGGTGCATCTCTCCCAAATCTCTCTCCTTGTTCTTCACCAACACCTGCTATTTTCAGTAGAAAGTTGAGCACCTGATGTTACCTGCAGTCCAGTAGATATGATGATGATCACCTCTGGATGTGATTCAAGGTCAAATGGGTTTGTCATATTGTTGATGAAATGGTTGGTAAGAGCTGTAACATGCTCTTTATGCCTCTTCAGTGCAGAGTCAAGGACTTGTTTGTGGACTTTGTTTTCACTACTTTTTGTTAGGTTAGTTCTTTCTCTCATAGCTTTTGCATATTCGTAATATGAAGCCATGTATTTTTCATCTCTAATACTAATATTGACCTTTGTGTAAATGTCACTGAATTAAAAAGCTAGTTTCTAGAATATTTCAAAAAGTTTAGTACTGCATGCATAGGCAGTTACAATGTAGCATCTATTCTGATAAGTTTTAATTTGTATGTACAAAAGCTTACAAATGGAGAAGAATTACATTAGGAATTCATGTACATTTATATCTATCCACTATGTAGTACAAATGGTGGCCATGCAATCTTCCGCTACTGGTGCGCAGTCTTCTCTGAGACTGATCTGGTCAGCAAATTTCAACTGAAAATATAGAAAACTTATCACTTGTGAGATACCTTGGCAATTAAGAATGTGTGGTGGTAAATATGCAATATTGATATCTGCCATTTTTGCCACCTGCTTCATCATATCTGAAAAAGTATTTACCCATGCAAAACCAATATACATCTTTGAATACATTCTTGTTTGATGGTTAAGGTGTTATCTAACACCCATTTAGGTGTTAATTTCAACTTAAACAGAAAAAACTGTGGTCATATTTCAGTATTTCTGGAACTGGGCAAAAAATTATTCTAATTTTGGGTATGATTATTTCACCTCGCCTATAGTCTTATGGCACCACTTGACTGCTCCACATAATAGCTCATCTAAACATACATAAAATAAGCTTTCTAATGATCTATCAATGTGGATATGAGGGTACATTAAACTCCAAAAACATGACCTGTTTTGGAGAATTGCTGTGTGCCTATAACAATTTACAGTACTTCTGAACATGGAGAATCAATAGACTGATAGTGATTGAAATACACTTCAAAGATTCTGTGGAGGGAAACCATTGAAATGAATATCTAATAAGAACACTTTAGTGCTTCTCAGTTAAGATTACTCTCAAGTAATCCTAGTCCCTACCAGGCTCCATGGCTATAAAATGGGTTAATTTGAGAACTACTCTTTCAGATCAATTTCTATGTAGTAATCAATTTAGATATGTTGGTGAAAGGTGGTTTTGGTTAACTACAGTTACTTTATTTGATCCAAACCCTAAAATTAATAAAGCATGAGAAGATAAAAGTAAAAAGCTACTAGTAATAAGGAACTGAACAGATGGTTGATTTGAGACCGTCTCATCCATCTTTAGGGTTCAGTTTGAGTGAGATAAGTGATGGTAAGTCATTCATGTTCTATTTTTGCTGTCATATCTGTCAACTATAGACATGTCACCAAATTTTTTTTCCTCCTAAATTTTAGTTTTTTTGACTTGACCTCCAAAGTACAATGAGCACTCAAATGAGTTTCAGTGAGTGAGCCCCAATTTTGGCTGCAGCACTTGGGTTTCTATAAACCGTGTCTAATTGAAAAGGAATTTGACATAAAAGAACTAAATATCATAGGCAAAATGCTTCACTATAGGATGAAAAATGGCATATGCAATTTTAGATCTATGTCAAGATTCTTAAAGTGTAGCCAAATAGAAAGGAGCAGAGGATGATTTTGTGTCTCTGGTCTAGATTCTGGGAAAGTTTTTCCTGTTTGAGGGCAATAGCTGCCCATCTTGCCCCTGCCTCCACATTTCCTCCTAGTATCCTTAGGCATGGATTTGACTCTGCCTCCAGTGTCCTAGGTTGTTTTTTAGCTGTCTTTTCTTCCTCCTATGTGCAGCTTCCTTTTTTTTTGGTTAACCATTTCCAGTAGTCCCACATTCTCTGTTTTGGAGGCATCAGCTGAAATGGTGACAAACATACCTTTCAACACAAGGCTGAGTATGCTGCTGCCCAGCATCGTCCTATAGAAACTCTTCCCATAAACTGATTTTTCAGGCTTGCATCTCAGTTACTTGCTTATACAGGTTCCTCTTTGGAAGTTTTGTGTTTTCAAGAGTAGAGAGACCTTTGCAGGCTGCTTCCTCTTTCAAGGATTGGAGGAGACCATTGTTGGGATAAGGCTATTTACAGTACTGAAATAATTACTAATTTTTTCAATTTTCAATCATCTTCATATTTAATCCTACTCTGTGTATTTTACTGAAGGTTCAACTGTTAAATTTTATCTCTGGCTTATCAGAAGAGAATGGCTCTTGTCTTTCCATACCCTCAACACCAATCAGACACAGCCAGGATAATGTGAAGGTAAAACTTTTCATCTTCATTACAACTTCTAAAAAATATTCACTCTGTATGCAAAAGTGAATAGGTGAAATGCAACACAACGTGTTCTTCCTCAATTATTGCTAGTCTAAACTGTCAGAGTAGAAAATACTTAATGACCTCCAGTATCGCACCTGAGCTTGTTGGTAGTTCATGCCTCTGCTTATAGGGTTAGAAAACATGCTATATGCTGCTCTCTGTACCCTTGAAGAACGAGACAAGTCTTTTCTGCAAGCCTGAAGAGCAGGACCAGGCTTCTGTAGGAGCCCTTAGTTAGGGGGTGTAAGGTTAGGTCCCCATTAAAGTGGAAGAAAAAGTTAACTTTCCTTATGCATAGGCAAGGCAGCAGTTGTGGGCCATAATTTCTCTTTTTTTCTCCTCCTTTTATACTCAGATGTTGCCTTGAATAATAGTCTAGTGACTTGCTCACAGATGAACAGTGAGGTAATGGCTCCACTATGATTTGCACCTCAGATTTTATTTAACTTCCACTCTTTTACCCTACTTACACATTAGAGAAACTCTCTCACCAACAGTATTGATGGCAGCTCCAGCAAATGAAAGGGGGGCATAAGTTGGCGTTTGCTTGTCCTCAGTCAAACCATCATGGGCTTCCTGGAAATGCTGGGTACCCATGCCTTCCCATCCCTTTTCTTCTCCCCCACTACAGGGAGACTGACCAGCTAGTAGGAGTCTCTTGCCCTCTCCAATATTCATACGCTCACCATAAGAGGGAGCTCCAGCATGGCATTTGGGGACAAGTCAGAACATGTTTGCTTCCTTCCCCAGAACTTCCTTCTCAGCTACCTGACATCAGACTTGTTGAATTTTTGAAATTTGAACTCTCGTTTTCTCCTTACTCTGCCCCGCTGCTACTAGCACAAGTCTTCCTTGGTCTACTTGACAAATACATTTCTCACCCTTCTTTCTTTTTCCTCTTCTAAACTTCAGTCTTCCTCTACTTTTTTCCTCTTGTTCTTAGTGTCTCCTCCCTTTCTCACAATTCTTCTTCCTACACCTCCATCCCAGGTGCTCCATTAAAAAAACACTCAGATATGCATAACTTCCTAAGTAACCATATGATCTTGTTTACTTTCTTCACCAATCTATTTTCTTTTCCTTTTAGTGTGTCTGTTCGTGCTTAGACTGTACATTCTTCAGGTCAGGGACTGTCTTCTTATGTTTGCATGGGGCCTAGCACACTAGAGTGCAGCTGTAATATAAATAAGTTTTTTGTGGGGGTCATAGTTTATCACTTCAAGTTCTAGTACCTTGTTGAAAAGTGAATGCACTAGAAATGAAATCATGAACCATTGGCAAAACTTCCATTGACATCAGTGGGGCCTTAGGTTATGTAAAGTGCCTTTGTTGTAAGGATGTTTATGGAAGAAGACCTAGATAATGTCAGATACAAATTGATGCTTATCAAAGAGTTGAAGAGAAAGGGAAATGAGAATGCTCTAAATCTCATGTGGATTATGTAGCCTCATGTACAAAAACTTTCAACACATTAAAATTCCACGTTTGGTCCATACTGGCTTACATTCATCATTTCCCAGTCTCCATATGTATAGAAGTCAGTGTCTTGTAATTCAGCATGACTGATATTCTTACTCTTTCAGAACAATGATTTCTGCGTATACCTAATTCATTTTTAAATAGGTTTTTTTATTTTAATGTTTTTGAGACAAGCTAACTTGACACTTTCTTATGCAGTTGCTATTGATCGTGAAGAAGTTTGTTTGTGCATATTTAAGCCTGTTGGTGAATTCTAAGAATGATCTGGCCGTGGCTCATGTTTTAAATATTCCTGATAGAGGACTTGGAAGAGAAGCCTTCACTGACCTAAAGCATGCTGCACAGAAGAGACAAATGTCCATTTTCCTGGTATGTGTCAAATCAGCATTAATCTTTCAAGAATACATATTTGGAGTAGATCAGAAGTAATGAAACAATTATAAAAATGTGAGTGCTGCGTCTTTAAACTCAGATGTAAGGCTGAGAACAAATTGGATTCAGGCTAACCTATCCAGTCAGGACAAATAACCTGGAAAAGCACATCTCTTAGACTAGAGCAAAGAGCTTGCAGAGTAGGGTAGATGCCTACTTGGACATCAGTTGCAAAGGTGAGCAAGGAAACAATTTGTGTGCATGTACACGCAAGTTGTAAAAAAGGATATGGGAGCAACAGAAATCAAAACTGTCTATCCAAAGTAATGACTAGAATCCTGAAGTAGTATGGTATGCATACTGATCTGGATTAACTTCTGCCCAGTTTAGTTCTCAGTATGTTATGCATGCATTTTTCTTTTGCTTTAACTAAATTTTTCTTTGTTTTTAATACATTTTTGTTTTACTACAAGCTTTGTGATTTAGGCTCTCTGGGAATTTCATGCAGACCATATCAGAGCAGTGAAAATTCCCTCCAAGAATAGTGAGTGCAAGAAGAGTTTTGGAGCATATTCTGCTTACAATAAGTGTCAAAAGGGCACAGATATAGAGGTTCTTTCTCATAAGGTGTAGCACTGTCAGGAATACTGTTTTAATTACATATAGTTGATAAGTAGATGAGAACTTTGTTCAAAGGTCTCCAACCTTTAAAGCACCCAGTTGTGTGCTTTTTTTTTTTTTTAAACAAATACAAACTAATTTTGAATCTGATGTTACGAGTCATTTTGAATGGAGCTAGAAATAGATTTAGTATATCATGTTCTTTAAATACTTGTCATTGTGGACCCCACTGTAAATGGGCATGCACCTCATGCATGCAAGATCAGATTCTTTTGAATAGCAGTGTCTGTTGGGGCCATACATGCACCCTGTGTCTTCTCATGCTTCTTCACAAGGGCTTATGCAGCAGCTGTGATCCTACCTCACTTCCCTCTTTCTGCTTATGGCAGCAAGATGGAACCTAGTGAGTGTGTGACTCTTTTTAGATACTTTTAAAAAATGTTTGTTTTAATTAAATTTATGAAGAAATTTTTCATCTTTACACTCCCTTCATTTGGATGTGCCTTGTCCCTGCAAAAAAAAAAAGGGGGGGGGGGGGGGGAGTTCCTGGAGACCATGCCTGCGCAGTCGGACAAGGTGCTGGGTGTCAGCTGCTATGCCTCATAGTGGACTCCATACTGTCAAGGTTTAAACCTTGCCCATCCTGTGGGAGGCTGATCCCTTTCAAGCATGGACAATCAACGCCTCTTTGCCTAGACTAGGCTATCTACTGCCTGGACAGGTACTCTGTGTACAAGTCCTTTTCACTCCACTCAAGCTACATCTATTGGAGCAGTCCATGTGTGTCATTTTGGAACCACAGGAGATGGTCACTACCAGAGCAAGGCCAGATAAACCTGTATCTGCCAGCACTTCCTTGAGCATACATTGTATGTAGAGATCAAGCACTAAAAAGAATCTGAAGAAAGCACCAGCAGAGCCAGCACTGGTGACTTTCAACACTGGCCCGTCCTTGGCACTGAAAACCTTGGCACCAAAAATGGACAGCCTTGGTGCCTACCCCAGGCAGGAAATCCAGCACCTGTGCTTATATATAAAGATAAGGCTCATTCATGGAGCTGAACAGATCCCAAACATAGATGCAAATGTTAAGGGAAGTTCCATAAGGAGGAAAGAAAACATGATTTCTCAAAGGACCGAGCATATGAGTCCTCCACCAGATCAGGAGTGGCAGAGGGAATGAGACCTCTGATCTTTCCATCTTTCATGGAACCCAGAAAAGATCTGAGAAATACTCTGGAGGAATCTGAATTATCTCCAGAGTGTTTCCCTGCAATGGAAAGAAACCATCAGCCCCAGTGCCCTATCAACCTGTGGCGCTGCCTTTCAAAGAGAAGATATGCTCTTCTATGCCATTGTTGGTGTATTCATTCTTGCTGGTGTTGAGGAGAGACTCTCCTCTGCCTTTATAGTGTGACCCTAAGGAGGACACCTGGGAGTCCTTATTAAGAGCACTGCCCCAAATGTGTGGCACTGGGCTAGCCCTAGTCAGGCCAGTATCCATATGACATGATACCTTGCCCATATTGCCTTTACTGGAGACTGTCATCTCATGCATTTAAGAATAGATTCCTTCCCCACCCCCCAATGCTTACAGGAAGAGTGGGTGATGGCATCATTAGCCAGTCCTCCCACACTAGAACTGAACATGGCCCCCAAGAGGAAGACATGATGACAGAGGGATCACAACAATCCCTGTCTCCACCCACAGAGTCTTCATCAGTGCCAGAATAGGCCCTGACACCAGCCCCAGTGCCAGTGATAGACTAGACTATCTACAGCCTGGACAGGTACTCTATGTACAAGCATTTTGAGTGCCATGATGCCAGTCAGAATTGTTCTCCCTGTTAATGAAGGGATCCTCGAACTGGTCAGAGGACTGTGACAATCCCGGCAACTCTTCCTCCCACTTTGAAAAGAGTGGAGTCGAGATATTGGGTGCCCCTCAAAGGCTTTGAACACTTTTATGCGCATCCAAACCCAGAGTCTTTAGTTGTTTTGAAAGTACAAGAAAAATCAAGGTCCATAAAAGGCATACCAAAGGATACAGATCCAAAAAAATCAGACCTCTCTCTGGATGCAAGACAGAGAGACTGATCAACATAATTCTGTTTGGCAAATTGGGGCTAGTAATTTATCAAAGTATTGTTTTCTTTCTTGGGTGAAGGAAATCCTGTGGAAATCCATCATACACCCATTATTCTGTAGCTGGGTCGGTTCCTATGGTAGACATATTTGCCACCCAGGACAATTCCAATTGTCAGAATTTCTGTTTCAGAGGGGTCATGAGCCTGAGATCATTGCCAACTCCTTTCTTCTGTAGTGGAATCCAAGCTTTCTTTATGCCTTTCCACGGACTCCGCTTTATCCTCAGGGTGACTTCCAAAATTGAGACAAACAAGAATGTGGGGGGGCTCCATACTGGCAAAGGCAGCACTGTAGTCAGATACTTCATCTAGAATTTGCATCTGATAGTCTGGATGTTGTCTGGTTAAGTGCCATAAACAGACTGCTCTAGATAAGTCCAGGATATCCTGATACAGAGCAGGAAGATGTCCACAGAAGAACTTATTTGTCAAATTGGAAGAAGTTCTTCATTTGGACTGCCCAGTGGGGCCTGGACCCTATTCCAGTTTCAGTACTGGAGATCTGCTACTACTTCCTTCATTTTACTATGCTTTGGCCAGTTGAGGTCCACCTTGCGTCATGATCAGTGGAACTGGAGGGGCTGTCACTGAGGAGACACCATGGGACCAGGGAACACAGATTTAGACTGGAAACAACTCAGCTACATGGACAGAGCAGTTCACAAGGTTTAATAACGTTCCACTTAACCTGTATTCAGCTTCATTTATGCAGATGAAACATACTTCTCAGCAATTTTTGCTTGCCATTTGCCTGTATAGTATTGCTTGGTCTCCACTCATTTGATGGTATCTGATTTCCTCAAGGGCCTACTTCCTCCTGGGACCTCAACTTTGTCCTCTCCAGACTCCAGACTATCTTCCTAGTTGCAATTGCATCAGCCAGAAGAACGAGGGAGCTCTAAGTACTTGCAGCAGGGCTTTCCCACACAATGTTTCATGGGGTTATGGTGGTGCTCAAACCTCAATCCAAGTTCATCCCCACGGTGGCCTTGGAATTCCGTCTGAATCAACCCATAAATCTGCCTGTCTTCCTCCTGAATTTATATACACTAGAAGTTTTCCTGAGCCTTACTTTACTATATTGACAGAAACAAACTGTTCAGACTGTCTCCCTTTTTTTTTTCCTGTCTGTCTGTAGACAGCCATTCCAAGGGACAGGCCATCTCATTACATTCTGATACCACTTAAATAATCTTTGTATCTCCCTGTTATCCATTGGCTGGTGAGCTCCTCCCACTGACCATCAAGGCTCACTACACCAGGGCTCAAATAACATCCTCCACCTGCTTCAGAAATGTTTCCAATTCCAAGATCTGCAAACCAACTGACAAGTTGTTTTGTTTGTTTGTTTTTTCCCCCCCCCTCCAAACAAACATGCATTTGTCTTAGTTGCCAGAGCTGATGCTAGACTCGGAGAGCAATACTAAAATCTCTGATCAACTGAGGAAGTTGATACTACTCATCTTACTATCCCGAAGGAGAGGAGTGTTTGTCAGTCACCTATAATGGGAGCCACACTGACACGTACAGGGAGAGAAAAGTTACGTACCTTACACTAACTGATGCCCTCCATCCTTGCTTTTCAGAGTCCTCAGCTACCATGGGCTTCAAACTGCAAAGAAACTGAGGGAGGGTTGCAGCAGCTCTGCCTCTGATGTCCTTGGGTGGGAGCACAAGGAGGCACAAGGTGTGTACGTGGCCCTGACAAACACTGCTATTCGAAAGAATTTGATCTTGTGTACATGAGGCGCATGAGCAGCTACAGTGGAATACACTGATCCAGTGAAAAACCACTGTTACTGTAGGGTAAGTAACCTTTATTTATGCTGAAGCAGCCGAACTCCTATGATCTTATGGTTGAATAAATATGGAAAAAATTGTGAAACCTCAGTTCTGGGATTATTTCAGCTCTTAATGTTGTATAAAAAAAGTATGTGTTTGGACTGGATTCATTACCCTCTCTTTCTGAGTTGCCAAAGGGGAAACTTCTCTACTGTATAAAGAAGTCTTCTCTTTTTGGCATCTTTGTCTAGGATAAATTACATGAAGCCAAAATATTTTCCATTGAGGAGGCAAGGTCCTATGAACCACATGCAATCCACAGCAAATCTTTAACAGAGCAAAGATATGAATGTTGGCAGATCTGCTTTTTTTTTTTGCTAGAATTATTTCAGTTGTACTGTTTTCAAGTCCTCAGAGGTCATAAGATGTGTATAATCTGAAGTTAAAAATTATATACACAATTACTATTGCATCTTTGCAAACAGAGATAGGATTGTCAAAAGTTTTCTTTACCTAAAAGAGATAGGAGTAGAAAACTAATTCTTCTGAAAGTTGCTGTAAAATTGTAAGTGTAAATTCTGCTTGGGGCAGTCTTATTTTTATTATTTTTATTTACTATATGTATAGATCTACTACATAAATATGAAAACTTCACTATATTTATATAGTAGATAAAACTGACTTGATTTTAGAATATATAACTGACTTGATTTTCAGCAGTGATGAACATCCTGAGCTCTCATTTGATTTTTCTCCTCTCTCCCCTGAAAGAAAGTTGTGGGTGTCTGGAAAATTAGGCCACTTCAGTGACTAACTTTTAGTCACTCTCACTTTAGAAAATGTTCATAATGCATAGTATGTCCCTGATCCTAGTTATAGCCACGAGTAGGCCTGTTGAGTTCAGCTTGCGGGCAAAAAGTTACTCACGTGCATATATCTATAAAATAATGCACAGTGATATTTTTAAGCTTAATTTGGCAAAAGGCAGTGCTTAATTACTTGGACCCAATTTTATATTTTGTTTGCAGACCTCCTATTAATGCTGCACTATTTTAAATCATGAGCTTGCAAATGGTTGTCACCAAGCATAAAGTTTACTACCATAAGTTGACCATTGACTTCACTAGGACTGTTCATGCTAGCAAGCAGCTGCCTTTTGACTTGGGAGACGATTACGACTTCAAAACAATTGATAATTTTCTCTTCTTAATGTTATACACATCGTCTTTTACCACTATAGTTCTACCTACCTACATATTTTTTTGGTAATAGATGGCAACATCTTTCATCCGAATGATAGAACTTGGAGGAAAAGGTTATGCACCTTCACCATTTGATACTTTAAGAACCCATGTAAAGGGACTTTCAGACTTTGTTAATTTTATCGACAAGCTGGAAGAAATCATCGGCGAAGTCCTGGATCCACGGTAATGGAGTTTCCCTCTTTTCTTTCTGGGTGTGGGGGTATTCTTGGTTTGTTTGTTTTTGTTTTCAGAATTCTCTAAATTCAGTTATTGTTTGTTGATAGTGGTGTGGGGTTTTGTTTTGTTTTTGTTTTGTTTTTTCGCCCTAGGAGTCGTAAATGTTTATAGCTTAAACTGTGTAGCTCTAGAAACTTTATTATTCATTGTCCCTATTGTTTTCACCCTGTTTGGGCAGCAGGACCAGCTGTCTTTTGGATTAAAATTTTCTGATTCCAGACCTTGGTGTGCTCATTAGGTCCCATAGAAGACAGCAATGAAAGGATCCTATCTTGTGGTCTCTTTCAGGGATAGATTCTAGCTACGCCTGCTTCTTGCTTATTCCAGTAGTTGCTGTTGAGTTCCAGGTGGTTTCTGGTTTCCTGAGCGTTCCAGTGGTATCCTCAAGATGTAAAATGCTCTCAACACTTTCTATATATTTTGATAACCATATAGTCGTTATCATTGTAGTGGTTCAGCTGTCTGGTTTTGTGTTTTTTGGAGAATCCTCTTTTGTTAGCAATTGTAAAACCTTACCTCGAATCTGTCTTTGGGCTCTTCTGTAGTCACCACTACTGCCGCACAGAAAACATCCAGTGCGGTTTCCCTCTGTACTATTCTGTAAGGGGTGTGGGAGGACTGAGAGAGGACGAGGGAGGAAGGAGGAATGGGGTGCTTTGATTACACCTCTAGCACTGACTGAAGGCACTGTTGCTAGATGCTGATTTTTCCATTGCACAGAGAGTAAATAATGTTGTTTGTGCAGTCTTGTCTCCCACATGTAAGGGTAAGTAAGAGAGGCAGGGAAGAACAAGGATCCAAATGGGATTCTCAGAAATAGTGAGGAGCGCTTAAAGAAAACAAGATGCTTTACAAGTATGTTTTGGGTGCAAAGGTGGTGGAGTAGCATTGTATATCAAGGATGAGTTAGACTGTAAAGAAATAAGAGTGATGGAATGGTTAAGACGGTCTGTCTGGTCAAAAATCACATTGGGGAAGAAAGCTACTAGAGCCTCTCCTGGGATAGTGCTTGGAGTGTGCTATAGACCGCAGGGATCCAATCTGGTTATGGATAGAGACCTCTTTAATGTTTTTAATGAAGTAAATACTAATGGGAATTGTGTGATCATGGGAGACTTTAACTTCCCAGATATAGACTGGGGGACAAGTGCTAGTAATAATAATAGGGCTCAGATTTTCCTGGATGCGACAGCTGATGGATTCTTTCACCAAGTAGTTGCTGAACCAAGAAGAGGGGATGCCATTTTAGATTTGGTTTTGGTGAGTAGTGAGGACCTCATAAAAGAAATGGTTGTAGGGGACAATCTTGGTTTGAGTGATCATGAACTAATTCAGTTCAAACTACATGGAAGGATAAACAAAAATAGATCTGTGACTAGGGTTTTGATTTCAAAAGAGTTAACTTTAAAAAAAATTAAGGAAATTAGTTAGGGAAGTGGATTGGACTGAAGAACTTGTGAATCTAAAGGCGGAGGAGGCCTGGAATTACTTCAAGTCAAAGTTGCAGAAACTATCAGAAGCCTGCATCCCAAGAAAGGGGAAAAAATTCATAGGCAGGAGTTGTAGACCAAGCTGGGTGAGCAAGCACCTTAGAGAGGTGATTAAGAAAAAGCAGAAAGCCTACAAGATGGGAGGGATTAGCAAGGAAAGCTACCTTATTGAGGTCAGAATATGTAGGGATAAAGTGAGAAAGGTGAAAAGCCATGTAGAGTTGGACCTTGCAAAGGGAATTAAAACCAATAGTAAAAGGTTCTATAGCCATATAAATAAGAAGAAAACAAAGAAAGAAGAAGTGGGACCGCTAAACACTGAGGATGGAGTGGAGGTCAAGGATAATCTAGGCATGGCCCAATATCTAAACAAATACTTTGCCTCAGCCTTTAATAAGGCTAATGAGGAGCTTAAGGATAATGGTAGGACGACAAATGGGAAGGAGGTTATGGAGGTAGATATTACCACATCCGAGGTAGAAGCCAAATTTGAACAGCTTAATGGGACTAAATCGGGGGGCCCAGATAATCTTCATCCAAGAATATTAAAGGAAGTGGCACATGAAATTGCAATCTCATTAGCAAAATTTTTTTAATGAATCTGTAAACTGAGGGGTTGTACCGTATGACTGGAGAATTGCTAACATAGTTCCTATTTTTAAGAAAGGGTTGGGGAAAAAAGGTGATCCGGGTAACTACAGGCCTGTTAGTTTGACATCTGTAGCATGCAAGGTCTTGGAAAAAAATATTGAAGGAAAAAGTAGTTAAGGACATTGAGGTCAATGGTAATTGGGACAAAATACAACATGGTTTTACAAAAGGTAGATCATGTCAAACCAACCTGATCTCCTTTTTGAGAAGGTAACAGATTTTTTTAGACAAAGCAAACGCAGTGGATCTAATTTACCTCGATTTCAGTAAGGCATTGATACAGTTCCACATGGGAAATTATTAGCTAAATTGGAAAAGATGGGGATCAATATGAAAATTGAAAGGTGGATAAGGAACTGGTTAAAAGGGAGACTACAGCAGGTCATACTGAAAGGTGAACTGTTAGACTGGAAGGAGGTTACTAGTGGAGTTCCTCAGGGATCAGTTTTGGGACCAATCTTATTTAATCTTTTTATTACTGACCTTGGCACAAAAAGTGGGAATGCGCTAATAAAGTTTGTGGATGACCCGAAACTGGTATTGTCAATACAGAGAAGGACCGGGATATCATACAGGAAGATCTGGATGACCTTGTAAACTGGAGTAATGGAAATAGGATGAAATGTAATAGTGAAACGTGCAAGGTCATGCATTTAGGGATTAATAACAAGAATTTTAGTTATAAACTGGGGACACATCACTTGAAAGTAACGGAGGAGAAGGACCTTGGAGTATTGGTTGATCACAGGATGACTATGAGCCACCAATGTGATATGGCTGTGAAAAAAGCTAATACAGTCTTGGAATGCATCAGGTGAGGTATTTCCAGTAGAGATAAGGAGGTGTTAGTACCGTTCTACAAGGCACTGGTGAGACTTCCTCTGGAATACTGTGTGCAGTTCTGGTCTCCCATGTTTAAGGAGGATAAATTCAAACTGGAACAGGTACAGAGAAGGGCTACTAGGATGATCTGAGGAATGGAAAACTTGTCTTATGAAAGAAGACTCAAGGAGCTTGGCTTGTTTAGCCTAATCAAAAGAAGGCTGAAGGGAAGAATTGTTTAAACTCAGTACCAATGTGGACATAAGAACAAATGGATATAAACTGGCCATCCGGAAGTTTAGACTTGAAATTAGACAAAGGTTTCTAACTATCAGAGGAATGAAGTTCTGGAACAGCCTTCCAAGGGAAGCAGTGGGGGGCAAAAGACCTATCAGGCTTCAAGACTAAGCTTGATAAGCTTATGGAAGGGATGATATGATGGGATAGCCTAATTTTGGCAATTAATTGATCTTCAACTATTAGTGGTAGATATGCCCAATGGCCTGTGATGGAATGTTATATGGGGTGGGATCTGAGTTACTACAGAGAATTCTTTCCTAAGTGTCTGGCTGGTGAGTGTTGCCCACATGCTCAGGGTTTAGCTGATTGCCATATTTGAGGTTGGGAAGGAATTTTCCTCCAGGGCAAATTGGCAGAGGCCTTGGGGGGGTTTTCGCCTTCCTCTGTAGCGCGGGACACGGGTCACTTGCTGGAGGATTCTGTGCACCTCGAAGACTTTAAACCAGTGCTACTCAAGCTATTTGATGTGGGGGACCGGCAATTTTTTTTTTTTCCAGTGTGCGTGCAGACCAGCAGCCGATGGCTCGCAGACTGGCACCGGTCTGCAGACCACCACTTTGAGTCGCACTGCTTTAAAGCACAATTTGAGGACTTCAATAGCTCAGACATAGGTTAGAGGTTTGTTACAGGAGTGGCTGGGCGAGATTCTGTGGCCTGCGTTGTGAGGGAGGTCAGACTAGATGATTATAATGGTCCCTTCTGACCTTAAAGTCTCTGTTTCTAAAGATGAAACCTGCCCTGAGAGACAACACAATGTTTCTGTTGAACCCAGAGAGATCCTGGGCTTTCTAGGTCACAACAGTAAAAATGGAAGGAAAACTCCCACTGAGGAGGGCAGATGGACCCTCCATCCCCACTTTTACTGACTGAGACAAATGGAACTTTTGGCTTGTGCTCAGCTTTGTAAGGAGAGACAGACTACAGCTGTAGAGATCGACTCTGCAGGGGGCCCCTAGCAGGAAGAATACTGGTGCTTTTTATAAGCAATTGGGGCCCATGTTCTGCAGCTCATCTGAGAGGCACGCACACGCAGTATTGCAGGATACTACTTTTACATCCCACACTGAAGGAGTCTGGGCTGGGACTTGGTCTTCTGCTTCCAGTTAGTGTGGTTATTTCAAACATGATATATTCCATTAATTACCCAGATGTTGGACCTGGCTGGGGAAGAGGAAAGGAGCCAGAAAGCCCTTTCAAGAGCAGAGATTACCAAGAATTGAGCCAATGGAGAAGTCTTTGGTCTAGGCATCCATGTACTCTGGAGAGGCTGGGTGGCTGCTAAGGAGTAGGGCAGGCTACTTTGGAGAGCAGTTGCCGAAGCAGACTGAGGGAAACAGGAAATGGGTATCCAGCAAGGTGAGAGGGCTTGCATCTTCTATGGATGCAGTGAAGACCAGGTCCCTTTGCATAAAAACCTTGAGACAAGAACTGTGTGGCTTTCATGGGAAGCAGAGGGGAAGGAATCACTGGAACTACAGGAAGCCTTAGGATCATGAGAGGGAATAAGAATGATCTGAGGCTGAGGAGCTGCAGTTGGAGTGGCAGAAATATCTAAGGAGGTGAAGAAGCAGGAGGCTACTGTAAGGTCCAGGAAGAGGGAGAAAAAACAACAGCTAAAGGGTGACTTCCAGAATTGGGGCAACTGGGAAACCTCAAGTCCAGGAGCCCCTGTACCCTGTGAAG